GCGATCCATTGCCAGACACGGAAAAAGACAAAAAGACAAAAAAAAAAAAAAAAAAAAAAGGCAGGGAGGGAGGTGGAAGGGAAGATGTCAACCAAAGGTTACAAAGTTTCAGTTGCAAAGGAAGAATAAGCTTTAGTGATCTATTGCACAGAATGGTGATTATAATAAATAATGAATAGTATATTTCAAAAAAGGGCAGGGGGTATGAATACGTGCTTATTTGCTTCATACAATGGTATGCATCTGTAAGTATGCTGTATATACATACCCTCTTTACCTTTTGAATTTTGTGGCATATGTTTCCTAATAAAAAATAAAATGAACTTAAAGTAATAACAGACAAATATATCCTTCTTTAAGACTATGTGAATTGTGAACAAACTGCTGATGATGTTTCACTAAATCCAGTGCATCTGCGCACACAATAATTGATGCATCTGTTGTTCCACTTTATTCTTAAAGTCACTACTCAGGCTCAGTTCTCCATGGTAAAGCAGAAAAACGAGGGGGCTTAGGAGACAACATGAAGTTCAATCTTAACTCTCTCTCACAATGCAACCTCAGACATGCTACCTCTCTGAGTCTCAGTTTCTTCATCTGTAACATAGGGATAATAAAATCAATCTCACAGGTTTTTGTGAGAAGAAAATAAATAGATTTGACTACATCAAAATGTAAAACTTTTAAAGTCAAATGACTGTGATGTTTGTAATATGTAAAACCATGTTCCACAACATAAGAATGAACAGTGTTGAATTGAATGGAAAGACAGAAAGTCTTAGCAGAGAAACAGAAGGTATAAAAATGAACCAAATAGAAATTTCAAAACTGAAAAATACAATACCAAATAACAAGTTGACTGCATGGGCTCAAAAATGGAAATAATCTGGGCCGGCCCGGTGACGCACTGCTACAGTGCGCCGCTTGGGAGCACGGCGGCACTCCCGCCGAGGGTTCGGATCCCACATACAGACCGGTTCCCGCTCACTGGCTGAGCGAGGTGCGGGCGCAGCACCGAGGGTTGCGATCCCGTTGCCGGTCCTGGTCCGGTACGGGTGCGACACTGAGGGTTGCGATCTGTTGCCGGACACGAAAAAAGACAAAAAAAAAGGAAAAAAAAAAATGGAAATAATCTTAAAGAGAGATCAATAGAAATTACCCAATACGAAAACAGAGGGGAAAAAAACTTAAAAAAATATTAATATAGACTCAGGAATCCCTAAAGCAATACTAAAGATTTAATATGCATCAGAATTGCTAAAAAAAAAATAGGAAAAAGAGTGTGGTACAGAAAAAATATTTGAAGAAATAATAATTTTAAACTTTCTAATTTTGGAAAAAGCCATACAACATACAGATTTAGGAAGCTTACCAAAGACCAAACAGAATAAGTTCAAAGAATCTTATACCAGAGACTGATGAATACCAACAACCAAAAAAAATTCACAAAAGCAGTCTGAGAAAAATGGGACATTGCATACGGGGAAACAATCATTCGAATGATAGCATATTTCTCAGCCAAAACCACAGCAGCCAGAGGCAGTGGAACAACATTATTAATGTAATGAAAGAAACCGTCAAGCCAGAATTCTATATCCACTAAAACTATCCTTGACAAATGAAGGTAAAATAAAGATATTCTCAAATGAAGGAAAAGTAAATGACTTCATTGCTAACAGACCTCCTGTAAAATTTTTTTAAAAAAAATGTTAAGTAATGGAAGTTCATCAGACTGAAAGGAAATGATACCAAAAGGAAACATGGAATTTAAGAAATGAAGGAAGAGAAAAACAAATGGTAAACATCTGTGCAGCCGTCTAGAAGAGCAACTCAAATGAAAAACACACAAGTTCCTTAAAACATGTCTGAG